GTAACATTCTTACTTTCTAGAACACTTCGTACTCTTACTCGTTCGTGCCATGAGTTGGAGATATCATATAATGATATGTCATAACAATTAACATGAGCAAAAATGTCAACCAATATCATAATATCACGTACGAATAAACGTACATAATATTAATGGTGACAAACAGTAATGTTAGATTATTAGTACGTGCTTTAAATATGTGTATGGAAGTATGGAACTAACAATTTTATTGAGTTTAAGGTTTGAAGGATTATTAGCTTATTTTATCCCAAACTATCATCAAATTCACAAATCTATTCTATTCTTTTATTTTTATAAAAAAAAAAAAGACTCAAACTTCATCTTTTTCAACAATTATGCTTTTATTTTTTATTTTTTCAATATTACACGTTTTTATCAATACCAATTAGATATAAACAATACTCCATACAAATTTGTAAACTTGAAACTATGAACAAGTAAAAGATATGAAATATGAATATGATTTTCTTCTTAATTTTTACTAATTATTCATTAGAGGTGTAATTGTAAGAAAAGTTGGAGTTTGAGTTTTTTTTTAAAGTGAAAGTATAGGATAGATATGTGAATTTGATGATAGTTGGAGATATATTTAGCTAATAATCCAGGTTTGACCGTTTGAGTGTTGTTGTTTTTTTAATAGTTTGAATGTTATATTTAAAAAGTTAAAAAAAATTATGTGCTGAGAACCATAAGTAACATTTTTTACTTTCTAAAACAGTTCTAACTCTTACTCCTAGGGGTGGGCACGGTTCGGTCCGGTCCAATATTTGGCCGAACCCGTACCCGTACCGTTACTATTGAAACGGTTCGGTACGGTTCGGTCTTAGACCCAAACCCGTTCGGTACGGTCCATTTTCAAACGGGACGGTACCATGCCATACCAATACCAAACAATGCCACTTTTTCCAGGTGTTTAAGAAAAAATTAAAGTTTAGCCATCCTCCAAAAATCTACACAATTTATCAATTTTCATATACGTAGTATCATACTACCTTCGTTCCAAATTGATTTGCAAAGTCAATCTTTTTTTGGTCAAACAATTTCTTTTTATTCACTTAATTAGAATTTCACTTTTTAATTACATTCTAATTTGGCCTTTCAAAAAAACTACTCCGTACTTCGTATATTTTAATTTGGATTTTGCAACTTTAGAGAGATTTTAATGTGGTTTCTAAATATGTAAATTTTAATTATTAAAAATTGTATTAATTATCAAGAACTTAACATTAACTTTGACAAAAAAATGTTGGCTTTGCAAATCAATTTGGGACGGATGAGGTAATTAATATATTTTAGATAAACTATAGTAGTACAAATTTAATAAACCATACTTCGGTCCGGTTCGGTCCGGTACCGGTTCTCATTTTATGAGAACCGGTCATGGCATTGTTTGGAACCGGTTCGGTCCGGTTCGGGACAAAAATTTTGAGATCCGTTTCAAACCCCATTTATCGGTCCGGTACCATACCGGTCCGGTTCGGTATCATGCCGGTTCGGTATATTTGCCCACCCCTACTTACTCCACGGGAGTATAGAAATTTGCTTTGTGTACACGCAGCTTACGCGCTATAAAAGTATCTTATTTTTTTACCTTCTTTTTATTTCTTTTACCTTTTCTTTTCTCTCTTCTTTCCATCTCTGCTTCCCGGACACTCCCTCTTTTCCGTTTTCTTCTAGTTCTTTTTCTTTTCTTTCTTCTTCACTCCCTCTCTCAACTCATCTCAAACTCACACAGTTAAGCATCACACGAGAAATCTATGGTAATAACTCTAATCTATTTCTCTATTGTGAATTTTGAATTTTAGATTTTGTATGTGAAATCTTGTTGCCGCTGTGTCGCCGTGCTGCCGTGCAAGGATTTGAGATTCAGACATGGAGTGAAACCTTGTTTCCACCTTGCCGCTAAGTATCTCCGACAAAATCCACTCAAGCTCCCATCTTTTTTTCTAATGTGAGCTCAGGATTTTTTATTTTTTATGCAAACTGAAATGTCTTTAGTTTGAAATCTAGTTTTATGCTTAATATAGTATATGTTTGTAAAGTTGTATATTGAAGTATTTGCTTTCATTTTTTGGAATTTGTGGGGTTGATTATTGGGATTATAATCCCAGCATTATATTTTATTTTGATGTCCATAAGGCGTTTGATAAAATGTTAAAGTGAATGTATGTTGAATATTAGAAGCATGACTATAAAATATTCACAACAACATCATGGATTATTGTTAAAGCAATGACTATAATTAGAAGCATAACAATGAAATACTTACATATATGTGAACATTAGCTAAAAGTATTACTCCGTATCATATTTTCTTGTTGTTCATGGCAAAAACCATACTTTGTCTACTAAAATGTAGCTTTCCCTGATTGCATGATCTTCTGATAATTTCACTCTCTCCCATCTAGTGATTAAGAGCCCGTTTGGTAGCACGAAAATCGGCTGTTTTGGCTGTTTCTGCTGAAATTTATGAAGTTCTGGCTGAAGTGGCTGTTTTGGCTGATTCTGCTGATTCTAGAAAAAAATATTTTAAAAATATATTTTATTAATAAAATAAAGAAAAAATTACATGTAAAAATAGCTAAAATGGTCATCTACAGTAACTTCAGCCAATACAGCCAGAAAAGTAACTCCAACCTTACTTTTTCTGCTTATTACACAATTCAGCACGCGAAAGTAAAAATTACGTGTTTGGTGAAAAAGCTGGCTGATAAGCCTGATAAGCCGAAAAAAAGGTCTCCAAACGGGCTCTAAATCAGTCCGGAAATTAAGCTTCTTATTGTTATGTTAAGAATATGCTTCAAACTAAACTGAAATAATTGTTCCACTTGCTCTATTCCATGATTACTTTAACATAGACACATATTAAACTGAAAAACATACTCTACTTGCTCCAAAATTAAAATTGTGATGCATTTCAAGTGTGACCTCTCATCATTAAAAACTTCCACACCACTCAAAATCACCCTTCTTGCTCAAATAAATTCACTCTTTGTTGGTGTTTTTTTTTTTTTTGAAAATTTTGTTGCTGTTATTAATGTTACCAAACTGTTGAAGGTCATTCTTAACATGCAGATTACCGCAAAGGGGTTTTGAGAGACAAAGAGAGGTTTTTATTGGACGAGCTTGAGCATTTTATGGCGTTGTTTATGGATGTGTGAACTTTTGTAATGCAAGAATGGAAGGTTTAAAGCACATGATAACCAAATATATAATTCGTGTAACTAATTACTTTGCAAAGTTAATGTTTTTCAGTTTTTGTATTGAGAATGCAAGTGTATTTAAATATTCTTTTGTTCTCAAAGATGTATCTTCTATGTTCTGAAAATGAATATGACTTTGATGTTATTGATTTACAAATTGAAGTATATTTAGATTTGTTGTGGAGACAGTGGAGTATAATGTTGTTTTATTCACATGAAATCGATTTTTTATTAACATGGAAATTAGTTTTTTTGGGTACAAAAAACTAATGTCTCTATACACACAGAAATAGTTTGGTTGTATGCATATTTGGTTAAGTAATATTTTTTGGCTCATACAATTATTGTCTGGACTCAAATATATATTTTTTGCGTCCAGACAACTAATTTTTATTATTGTCTTTGTCCATACAAAGAAGAAATACATGATTATTTTGACAAGGAAGAAATGTTTTTTATCAAAACAAAATAAAAAGCTACTGCACCCCTCATTGCATCCCAATAACATAAACAAACATTGAAAAAAACATTTGAGTCATTTTAACAAACATGTATTGGGCATAAATATAAAGTAACTAGTTCAACTAAGATTTCAATAATTCACATCACAAACCTATATCAAAGGAACACATGGTCAAGAATTCAACATCATAACATATTTAATTCACTTAAATCAGGGGGAAAAAAGAAAATAATATAATCATATTTGAAAATAAAAAATGAGTCGATTTTAAGCCTAATAATCAAAGTTTTGAGACAAAAGCATCTCCATGATCATTGTTGACAGTGGTGGACCTAGGAAATTCATGTTGGGGGGTTCAAAATATTTTTTGGGGGGCGAAAATTATTTTTTGAGGGACGAAAATTATATTTCTTATATATATACACTAAAAATAAATTTTGTTGGAGGGACGACAACCCCCTGGGTCTGTACTACGGTCCGCCCCTAATTGTTGAAAGGAAATTCGAAGTCAGTAACAGTTTTAAAGATGAGTTGCAATGAAGAAAGAAATAAAACAGAGAATTAGCTCGAGGAAAAGAGGACGAGCTGAGGCGAAACTGCGAAAGAGTAGGAGCAGAGAGAGAAACGAAATTGGCTGAGGAAAAGGAAAAGAAAAGGGTAATGGGGAACGGTAAAAAAATGGGTTTATATAGCGTGTACCAAACGTGTACATATGACGTGTACATCTAGCTTTTTCCTATAGTTTATGCCATGAGATGTTGCATCAAGAGCAAAAATCTCATCCAATATCATAATCATAATGTCAAGTACGGACAGACATACAACTTTAGCTCGAATATTGATTTTACATAGATAAAAAACAAAGAGAAAAAAGTCAAATAAGACTTTCTACTATTATGAAATCGTACATAAAGTCATGTACTCAATAAAGTGTAATATAAATACATCTACTTATAAAAAACAATCGGATGAGTCCTAATGACCCGTTGACAACCTCTTAATCCTGATTTTAGCTTACGTGTCAATTTATTTGACTTGTATTTCGACCAATCTTAGGTAAATATTCGACATGTGCCGAATAATCTATTATAAAAAGATGATTTCAAGAACACTAAAATCGGGATTAGGAGGTTGTAAACAGGTCGTTAGGACTTATTTGATTGTTTTTTACAAGTAAACGCATTTATGACAGGTTTATTGAGTACATGACCTTATGTGACGATTTCATAATAGTAGAAGGTCTTATTTGACCTTTTTCTCTAAAAAAAAATAGATGACGTCATGTTTTTATATATTGAATTAACTAAACTCAAGTGGAATAAAGATCAAAAACTATAAATAAAGGTTCGAGTGTTCGACAATCCACGAATCAATAATTCCTTTGACCTGTCATACCAATTTTTGGACATCCTTTGGCAGGGGAACTGATCTTAGTACAAATAAAAATGGAACTAATCTCACATCATTGAGCCATTCCCAGTCGAGCAAAAAATCTTCCAAATGGAACTAAAAACTACATATTCAGCATTATCACTCCTAATTGTTATCTAAAAGACTAAAATCTCTCAAATCCAAATTAGCGGTTCCCACTATCGACTAGTTACAAAAATCATTTTTACTGCATTTGTGTTGATGTAGCATCCAGTTCCTACTATAAATTTCACCTCAGATGCCACTAAAACTCTGGTTGCAGGCATTTAAATTTCCTTTTTTTCATTTTTACCACCCCGATCAATCTCTGCCCATCTTGCAACGTAGTTCTTGCACCTCCAGGGATTATTGATGGCACTAAACCATCTCCAAAATCTTCATATTACCCATTGAATTTGCAGCAACTAAGGTGGATGACTTACCATGCCAGCAAACAGATGAGATAAACTGTGAAGCATCATCCATTGCATCTCCACAAAGTGGGTCCGTGCTAGTAAACTTGTTTGATGATAATGCAGGCATTGGAAAAGCTTTGTGGTAAACAAAAACCTGTATACCACATATCATAGAAGAAGCGTCAGCATGTCCCAAGTGTGATTGAGAAAACGAAATGCTTCATAGGAACGGAACAAAAGAGAAAAAAAATAGCCCCACATAAGGTAGAATGGGTAGAGAAATTAGTTTTACACAAGTGAGGCTTTATAATGTTAATAGTAAACAGACAGCATAGTAAGATGCATATGATTTTAAGTATGGAAGATCATATTCTTAAATTCTTATCCAATTTGGAGCCCTCAAAATAACCATTTAGAGGCTCATTCTATACCATCCATGTAAGTGGTGTGAGTTTAAAAGGAGGCCTTTAGGCCCAAAGATAGACTACGTGTGGAATTATATGCATGGTTTAAAAGGAGGCCTTTAGGCCCACCAGTGTGAGGCGGTGAAAAAAGCTTTGAGGCTTAATCCTTATGTAAATGAACTGGGGCTTATGGTTGAGGCATTTTCTGAGGCTTAAGCCTCATGTTTGTACTTATAAGTTTTAAGTTGCTTCTAGATTATTATTTTTAAGTAAGTGTCAAATTGGACCTATAGTTTTTCAATAACTAGTCACTAAACCTATAAAAACCGAGAATCTATTTGCCAATATTTTTTCTGTTCTCTTCTTTTATAAAAGTTCAGGTAAAATTAAAAACTCCAGCTATTTTTCCCTTTTTATTTCAAAATTAACAACAAAAGTAACATAAATTCTTTTGATTTTTTAGTTGTAATCAAATTGCTCCAGAATACAAAAAAAAAACAAGCTCCAGCCATTTCTTCTCCATATACTTACTATTTTATTTGGGACAATAAATCTTAAAAAACTTTTTCTTTAAAAAGTTAAATTTATTGTGGAGGTCTATGACACTTGATCACCTTAATGACTTGCTTATACAGTTATATGTATGATTGATAACATGTTTTAGATGGCTAGTACTACGTAGTTTTTATTGGAAAGAAAGTTATGTATAAAGTTTGCGGCTTACACCTCAAACGCCTTGAGGATGCCTAGACTCACAACTGCAAAATGCCTCTAAGGCATAAGAGTGCCTTTTAGACTTCAGTTATATGCAACATCAGGAATATTTACATTCCTTTGTAGTAAATGTTAAACATATAGTAATAGGATAAAAAGCATTGTAAGCTTATGCTCTTGCATGTGATATACGTAATATGTAGTATACTACTATTGGTGACCAGATCCACAAGGGTCAACGAACCACTGACACTTCTAAAATGGTAAAAAAAAAATACATGTGTGGGACATAGCAAGCCATGACCAAGTTTTGATAACTTTTGCTAAAATGGGCTAACAACAGACATTTCAGGGACAACACATGTTTGTATTTTGTAAGGTGTCTTTTAAGGATGTTTTTACTTGGACTGTAATTCGTCCCAGACCAGACCAGATCAGACCAGACTTAGATAGTTATAAAAATACAAAGAAACCAGACCAGACCAGCAAATTACAGTCCAAGTAAGAACATCCTAAATGTTGGATAAAAGTGCTCCAGACCAAAACCCCAGATCTACCTTTCATATTTCACATCTACCGATCTTTTAATCTAAATGAAAAAAATGGATTTTCTGTTATTATTTCTATAACTATTAGTTTATTTACTTATTTATTTATTTATTTATTTATTTATTATATGGATATATACCTGGGTAGATCCATCACTCTTATGATGGAAATTTAATAAATAGCACAAAGGTTTAATAGTAGCCCATATGTGCAGGCATACCCTTGTCTGTCCTTGATAGTCTATAACTCTATAAGGTTTCTCCTTGAGTATGTTTGAAATAATGTCCAGAATGAATATGAAAAAAGTGAGTACCTCATTTGTTTCTGAACCAGTTGCAATGTAACCATCAGATACAGATAGGCCAACGAAGTTCTGTAACAAGAAAACTCTGTTAGCAAAGAGCCATTTTTCTTCAATATCTTTAAATGGGAATTAAAATAACCAATATAAATATAATGTGAAGACAAACAATTTAGGGAGAGAAGAGTGATATCTATTTGGGTTTTGCAATAAATGAATACACTGCACTGCATTACTAGCACGCAATAGGGCATACTAAACATCTCATAATCTGAACTTCAGTAAATATTCCACTCACCCTTACTTTCATCTAGGTTTTTCGAGTTTTCACCCCATCATGGCGTCATTAATTTATAATGAGGGCTAATGAAGCTAGTCTATGTTTAGATATTAACATTTAGCAGTTTGAAATTTTATAGAGATAGCAACAGAAGTAATTGAGCAAAAGATATACTTTATATTCTAATTTCTAAATATGATATTAGCATTGGTCGTTGATCTAATATGAAGTTATCAACTTATTTTGCAAAATTGATGTAGGCGATCACGAATAATTAATAATTAGGTACTACAAAAATATAAAGCTTACAGGAATTAAGATAGGTTCACAGGAAATATTAAGCATATTTAGCAAGTATAGAGCCATGGAGTTGACTCAAATTAGACCACCAACGTGGTTGTAGTAAATTCTGACTCACAGTCTCACACAACTAAATTATCTTTATCTTTCCTTAGTACCAAGTATGCATTGTTTGTAATTGCGCAATGCAATTGCGCCTCATGGCGCGCCTCAGCTAATTCCTAGACTATTGCGTAAAAGGCATTGCATATGGCGCTGGGAGTGTGACGTACGCAATATTGCACTGAGGCGTACGCAATATTGGATACGCAATAAGACGCTCTGAGGTGTACGCCACGAGGCTTACGCAATATGCAATATTAAGAAAACGCCACGACTACGCAATATGCAATTTCGAACCTTGCAAGTATGTAGACATTTTAAATTCCAAATCTAAAGAAAACTGTTGAACTTGATGAAAATTACCTTTACATTCGTGTGTCCAGTATATGACTGAAGAGGGCAATCAATAGTCCGAGATGCGGACATTGATAAATCCCAAAGCTTAATTGTGTTATCAGTTGATGCAGACACAAGTGTTGTTGAATCAATAAACTTAACATAGCTTATCGTCTTGTTGTGCCCAACTAGAGTGCATAAAGGCACTTTAGAGTTCCGTAGATCATAGTAATAGATCCTGTGATCTGCTGAACCAAATGCAAGGGAATGACCAGAATCAAAGGGAAACTGAACACAACACACATTTGCTTTTGTTTTTATGGTTCCAACACTGCCACCCTGCAAAAGCATGGAATAATAACTAACCACAAATAGAGAATTAAATACATACTGAAAAATAACCAGTGTTTAAAAAGGCGCTTATAAGTCTTGAAGTGTTTTGCATTTGTGAGGCAAAGTGTAGGCTTCAGTGCAAAGCATAATTATTAACAATTTAAAACATATTATGAAACATACTTAAACATGAGTCATAAGTATGTGTCATAGAATATAGACCACTATAATAAGTTTAACTTTTTAAGGAAAAATAATCTGTGTAAAATCAGAAGTTGTTAAAGTGAGGATAACGGAGAAGAAATTGTCAGTCGCAAATTTTTATATTCTTGAGCAATTTAAATAAAAAATAAAAAGTGACTTATTACTGAAACTTGCTGGAAAGAAGAGAAGAAAATTCAGGCAAATAGATTTCAGGGCTTTTCATTGGATTAGTGACTATTTATAGAAAATTAATAGATCTAGTATGACTTTTATTTAAATAAAATAGGCCAAAAAAACATAAAACTAAAATCCTGAAAATATGAGGCTCAAGTCTCCTAAGAAGCCTCAACCTTATAATGCCTAAATTCATTCTCTTGACGCTTAAGCCTCAAGGTATTTTTTTCTCTGCCTCACACTGAAGGAAGCCTCACAAGAACCTTTATGAACCATGAAAATAACTACAAAGGTGTTGTACTTCGTTTCAAAGATGACATCCCCAAAATTCAAAAATATATAATTGCCTGATTGATGTTCCACAGTTTAACAGAACCATCGTCACTGCCACTAGCCAACATAGTTGGATCTGCTACTGAGAAGTCCACGGACCAGACCCTCCTCTCGTGCTCTCTCATTTCCATGAAAAGTTGGCTTCTTGTGACATCCCATACCTGGACAGAGGATTATAGACGGTTTCATTTTTTTATGCAATTCCAACAGAAAAGTAAGCATGACACAATGAGTATATGACCTACCTGCACTAAACCTTCAAAGTTACTTGAAGCAATTTGGCTTTTGATATAGTTATTCCAACAAATACTGCTTAGCTTTGATTTACTAGCCATTTCGACAACAGGATAATGAATATCATGATCTTCATTTAAGATTGAATTGTAATCAAAGACTTTGATTTTCCTATTTACACCGGCACTTGCAAAAAAATCACCATCACGGTCGAAGCTCAGAGAGCACACAAGATTTGAAGAATTTAGAAGATCCCCTTGCTTTAAGTCTGCCTTCACTTCTAACTTACTGAAAGAGAGATACTTGCACAAGCCTTCTAGGAACGAATTAATCCATCCATTCTGTGTTCCCTTATTATAGTAGCTTCCCTTTGATGACAAATTACAGACAGAACTCCTATCAGTAGCTACGGCTAAAACCCTACCATCACTACCTATTTGAGAATGTCTACTCAATGGTTTATCGAGCGGCTTTACACATCTGCGTCTTGTCATGTAATAAGCTGACTCTATATTTTTGAAATTCTTCATCAAACGGGAATTTTTGGAGAGGAAAGTTCTTTCATCTTCAACAAGTGTCTTTGATATCTGATACGCATTCGCATGGTCCCCAGACTCATCTGAATAGCAGGGACCAATGCCTGTCCTGAATCGCTTTCTAGATCCTGTGTTCCCATCATCATCGTCAGCCTTATTGTTCCTATTTGAAGCTGGATCCTTACCTGCTTCAAGATCAGATCCTTCCTTTACCCGCAGTGTTGTCTTCATATTTGTAACTTCTTCTATATCAGCAGAAAGAAAAGATACTGTCTCATTCAAATTGTGTGCAGCCTCTTGTTTTCTCTGTTGCATAAGCAAAAGAAACTCCAACAGCCTTTCATGCTCATCTATTTTTTCTCTAAGCTCATTTGCTGCTTCACGGTCTTCTAGATATTCTTTTGGATCATTAAGGAACTCACTTCGTGACAGGTCACTGTTATCATTTGTAAAGTGAATATGAGAATGAAAGAATGAATATGTGTAGGGGCACTAAACTCATGGTAAAACTATTGCTGGTGATATATTCTCATAAAATCTCTTTCAATGTAATTCCAACTCAAAATCAACAGTTAGTGGGGGTCTATAAATGAGATTGACAGTTCAGAGATCATGTTGCAAATGCATTTATCCCTTTTATCTGAGAAAGAAAAGGTTAGAACTTTAGTGGAGTGAGAATAATTTGAGGGGCAAGAACAATTATTCCAATTGCGGTGGACGCTAGCTTTCCTTTTTAATTTTGAATCATCAACACTGCAGTAAAGCACATAAACAAGCAATTTGCTAAAGAATGCCAGCAAAAAAAATTGCTCGCCTAAAAATGTTATAGTTGAATTGGCACATCATGTAAAGCACATATCGGCAGATAAGATTTCATTAAAACAGATGAATTGATATGCAAGGCCTTTCATTAAGAAGAAGCATATGGCAAGAAACAATTTAAGATAGCATATTAAGCTGACAAGAGCGAAAAGATTCTCACCCCAAAGTTGGCCTACCACTGGGCTCAGGGTGCAGCAACCACAAGCAAAATGAAGCTTCTTTGGGCCACTTCAAAAGTAACTGGGGAGGGAGGACTCGATGTCTCAGACTAGACATAGTGACACTTTTCTCTTCTGGTGAGCTGCAGGTGCAGAATAGCTGTTCAAGAGAGAGAAAGATAGACTAAACGTTGAGACCAGCGAATAATCATAAACCAGGCTTAACTTATGGGTTGTTTACTTATGACTTAATGGGTATAACCGTGACATAATTATTCAGCAATCAAGAAATGTTTACTTCTGGCTTAAGTGGAAACGTGACTTATTAATTCACCAAAAAAGTTCCTTAATCATTCAGCCTTGATTATATTTTATCTTATTTTTTTATCCTTTTTATCCTAGCATTTTCGTCTTTATTCAGCACAGTTGGAGTATGTATCTTTATATAATCTTTATCGTGTCTTTTTATCCTTTTCATCTTACCATACGTCCTTATCTATTTCTTATCATTTTATCCTTAGATTTTTTCTGATTTCATATGTTGATTCATGTTAGCCGACCCCACTCTTTTGGGACTAAAGCTTGGATGTTGTTGTAATCATTCAGCCTTGATGTAACCATTCAAAGGTCTATTAGCCAAAACATATTAAAGAAACCATTGACAAGGCAGCCCAAAAATGACCTTAAATAGGTTATTTTACACAATTCAGACTAATTATTTAGCACACAAAGTGAACAGCCTCTTACACAAATACCACTTAATCCAAACACATTAAGACGGATATCGTTATACAAAAATATATCTTAGTGTCATTAGCTACTAACCTCAAAGAGGAGGACTCCAAGTCGATAAATGTCTGAGGCGCAAGAGCTTGGAGCACCAGCAGCTTCTTCTGGGCTAGTGTACCAACTGGCTTCCAAAAGCAATGTTTGTTTCATGGGGAAAGAATGGTTCTCCTCCTCTTCCACCTCGATTTGCTGGCTCTTAATAGCTTGGCATGGTTTCTGCTGTTGGAAAACGGATTTAGTCACTATGGGGAAAGCAATGGTAGGATTCCTCTGATGTTCCAATCTTTGGGCTACAGATTGCTTTCCTTCAAGTTCAGAGTCATGAGGCGAAGGTGAATTTGAACCCTCAAAATGTGCTGCTTGGCTGTTTAGCCTATCTTCGTGTGAACCAAGAGTAGAACTAAAGCAGGATGCAGATTCAATAAAGGCAATACGGTTGAATGCGGACAGAATGAAGCAAGAGGGCCGTACATTGTGAAAGACAATTCCCTGAGAATGTGACACATTAACAATCTCCACAATTTGAGTGAATATGTGCAAACATTCAAAAGAGTCAACTGTTCTTTCTGGATTGTCCAACAACTTTCTCAAACTAACCACCCTGCCATCTCTATTAGGCACTACCTCCCCCTTTACAAACTCAGTGTGGGCTCTAGGCTGATTCATATGAGACAACAGTGCTTTCACTCTTCCCTTTCTTGCTGGGATAAACCCGGAATCAGGCAATGCATTAGTAGATGACCTCACAGCGCTTCCATGAACCAATCTCAGATTTCTGGAACTATTTGAGTTATGCCAATCAGACTCAGATGAACCATTCATTGTTAAGGAAGTATAATTCCATGAACCCAATGCACACCAAAACAATCAAGACATCCGTGATTTCTCATACTCACAAAACATACTTCAGTTTGTACCATAATCATGTGTAATAAAGCAAATACTTTTGACAGCAGAAATTACCCAATCCAATCACCACATAAGATCAAATGTGTGGAAGCAACAAGAATACAAAGACAAGCCAATCCCAACCCTCAATCGTACAATACAACCAACACACACAAAATTGTAATGGATCACTGAACTGCAATGATCTTGGGCACATTCATGTGAGATAAAGGAGGTGGGTGTGATACAGAGATATCTGAAGATGTCCGCACAGAAGTAGCTCAGCTGCTTCTATAGTTCTTTCTATATATGTCAGCCACGGCAAACAGAAGAACCAGAGCCACACAACAGATACTTAAACCCCCAACCAGAACACTATGCTTTTATTATTCCGAGGATGCACCGCAGCCTCAGAATTTCCAATAAGTACTGTAATACGGACTACTATCTTTTTTTCTTTTTATTCCTGTGATTATTAAACCGGATAAAAAAGAAAGCAGAAACGACAACCTCTTCTTTTTCCACCCACAGAAAACTACTTACACTGGTATAGGGCACAGTAACATTGAACCAGATTTGGTTGTTTAGAAACCCTAGCGTGCTTGCTTTTATCTCCATCTCGTTCATTTCCGCTCCTATTCCATCGCCTGTAACGTGGCTTATTCTCATCCTCAAAGGCTCACTCATGGAATCCAGAGGCAAAATAGTAAATTAAGTTGAATTTCGGACCCATTGCAGACCTGCATCAGCAAATGAGCACGCGGATATGCAACCACATGAATCTCCAATTTCCAAACTCCCGGCATCAGATTCATAGGGGAAAAGCCGAAAAGGTTAAGACTTTAAGGTTACCAAATTATTTTAAAAATTAAATCAATATTGAAGTATGTTTCATAAAATGAAATTGTTTATGAAATTTTCTTATTGTTTTTTCTTATTTTATTGTGATCATATCAAAACAAAACACAACAAAAGAATTTATTTCAGATCATGTCTGAAAAATTATGATCGGGTCATAAAAATTCAGATCACATAAGGGCTTGAAAAATTAAGATAAAATCAGTTCAAATAAAATCAGATAAAAAAGATTCAAATGATACCAAGTTAGAAAAAATAGTTTGAATTCAAAAAATTCAAATGAAATTAGAAAAGTCCAATCATGAGTTATTACATTTTTAAAAATAATAAAAATTATTATTATACTATCATTATCATTATTGTTGTTGTTGTTTTTCTTATTATTGTTACTACTACGTATTATTTGTTATTGTTGTTGTTTTTTATTATTAATATAAAATCATATGTTCTTGCTATTAGTATTAAAAATAATGATAACATTGTTACATTATATGACTTTTATTATAATTCATATGTTTGTATTGTAGATTGTTTTCATAATGATAATTATAAATAATGTTATTATTATCATCACTCGTATGTTATTGTTATTAATAATTTATAAGACATTATTTGTAATTATATTTTTGCAGGCAGGTTTCATTCATGTAATATTTCTGGAAAAAATTAATAATGTAAGACCGTATTATTATTTTTTTGACTGAATTCGGCTTAGATTAATAACTAATAATAATTCGGAGTATGGGTCAACTGACAAAAAATAAGCTGATAATCGTTATCCCTTGAACCAGACTTGGAATTAATCACCGTAGCAATATAATTCGCTGATCCATAACCGGGAAACACAAAGCCTAACACGGTTACCAAATTCCTCTCATCCCCCACGTCCAAAATCAACGTCTTACAGACCAGAACAGGTAAACAGGAACAAAAACCAAAATAAAAACTAAAGTTGATGAAACAGTAAATAAAGTAGAAAGAATAACACCCTTTTCGCCGCCAGGCAACTAGAACCATTCTTCCGGTTTTCGACCTCACACCTTCAACCAGTGTATTTGGCAGGCTTAAGGAACCAAGCTCGCCTCCACCCCGTTTTTTGTCCCATTTGTGATCATGACGTCATCCTCATTCTCGTTCTATGTCTGAGTCTCCCAGATTTTCCTTCTTTTGGAAACCTCTTCCTTTGGCTCTTCCCCACCTTGTGTGAAGCTTTGAGCAGATTCCGTCCTTGACCCTTTCTCCTTGTCTATCATCTTTCCTTCTGATCTGGATGCCCCCGGTCCGCCCCCCGATTTGCCAGAGCTCGATGAACCCTCCAGAAGCCAGGCTTTCCCTCCTGTCGGGCTAGTCTTCACCCCACTACCTGCTCTAAGATGAGATCCAAATCTTTCTTCCAGAACCAGTCTTTCTTCATAATTTAGGGGACAAAAATTATCTGAATGACCAACCAAACCACATATAAAGCAAAAGGTGGGCAACCTTTTATATTTAAAATCCACCCAAAAACTTTTACCATCTTTTTTCATATTTGTCCCCTTCTTCAGTGATTTATCCATCTTCATAAGGACCCTAACATGCATGTATGGCTCTACTTTTTCTTTTTTCTGATAATCATCATATTTAACAAATTCTCCTAAAAAACACCCAACACGTCTAGCAGTGCCCAAATTTACCAAACTATAATAAGGAACATTATGAATTTGGACCCAAAATTCAGCCTCATTCAAAACAAATTTGTGTTGAGATATACTATCTCGGTCCGTTACTGTTCAGGAGCCCAAGATTGTACGTATTACGGAGCCCGATCAGTGAGGGCCGTTTTAGCTTATTAGGCCTGTTTCGGCCTTTGGGCCCCTTTCGGCCCACTTGGCCCATTAGGGTAGATTTATTCCCTTTCCCTTATTCCCTATAAATAGGAGGTTTTCCCTCCATGTAAGGATGTTTTTACTTGGATTGTAATTTGCTGGTCTGGTCTGAACTGGTCTAGTCTGGTCTGGTCTGAACTGGTCTGGTCTGGTAAGGTCTGGGTTCTTTGTATTTTTATAACTATTCAAGTCTGGTCTGGTCTGAACTGGTCTGGTCTGGTCTGAACTGGTCCGGTCTGGTCTGGTCTGGGACAAATTACAGTCCAAGTAAAAACATCCTAAGGGGGCTGATTTTGGTTGGTCTCTTCTTCCCCATTCCTCCTCCTTTTCTCTAGAATAGATTAGCTAGCTTTATCCTCCATTAATGGGAGCTTCAATACATGTACTATGTAATGGTGAGGAGATATTAATGAGAATGAGAGGGCTTGGACATTAGCCTAAAAAGTCATGTGGTTTTCTCCCTTTCGGGTTTCCACGTAAAAAGAGCTTGTTCATACACATTTATACATATATTTACTATATCGTGTTGGATTAAACTCAACACGATATAGTAAATATATATGCATAGGTTGTTGGTATTTATAATATAGTAGTAACAGTAATACTACATTTTTACAAAGAAAGTAATACTAAATAATATAAGTTACTAATAACGCTTATAACGATGATGATAGTGATACTTATAATTAAAATGTTAATGGCTATGATCTATATTAATATTAGAGTGAAGCACAGTAAAGTTTTGTTATTTGAATCGTTTTTAAATAGGGGTGATAGAATATATTGTACAACTAGTACAAAAAGTGTCTATTGTAGCGTCCATCTTGTAGCCCCATAGAAATTGCTACAATATAGTATCTTTTATAACATTATTGTACCAAAAATGCTACAATAAAATGATAAATTGCTACAATATGTCTATTGTAACATTAGTCGTATGCAACATTCTAAAAATGCTGCATTTGAAATATTGTGACATTTTTTACACCTATTGCAACATTTTGCATATGCTACAAAAACTATACTTTGGTGTAGTGATATTGGACCCCCGTGTTACCAGTTATTGGGCCTGCACAACGGCCCGGATATACTGGTGGATAATATTCACATTATTGTAAATTATTTTTACAATTATTATTCGAGTATTTCATATTATTTTTTATATTATTAATCCTTTTATGCAACTGGGTCTGTCAGACCAATATTAGAAGCCCAGACCCAGGATTTCCTATATATATACCCCCTTGCAGGGGCGGAGCCAGGACAGAGGTTCATGCTGGCCGATTGTAAACTAAAAATACTATATATAAAATTTACACGAGTAAACAGTTCGAACAAAATGATTAAGATATTGAAATTCATGAAAATATTTTTGTTATGTATACTTTGTACAAAATATGAAATTAAAATGTGAACACATTCTTTAACTCGTACTTTGAAAAAGTTGAGTTTCGATTGATAAGGTTCAACCATTAAATAAGATTACCCGATTTAATCTCTTTTCTTTAACGCCAACGACTAATTGCTTTCCGTTTTCCCGAATCTCATTCAATTTCAACCGCATAAGAAACTAATTCCTCTTGAACATGTGAGAACTAGTTAGAGTTTCAATCAAATCATTTGACTATTATTTGTTTTATGTATTTGTTGTAGACTTTAAAAAATGCAATGTGATCCTTGCCTTTTCAGGAGTAGATTGGGTAGACATATATCTAATTAAGTTGACATCAATTAATAATATAATCAATGCATAATCTAGAATCACATTATTCGTATTAATATGTTAATAATCACAATCCTCATTTAATTTTACAAATGAACACGCAATAATAATACAAATTATATCCAAAATTAGAAGAATATGACATTTTACATTCTAAAATATTCGTATAAGGACAGAGTCAAACACTCAATCTCAAGAATCAAGATTCCAAGCTATGGAGTATTAGCTATATAAATTATAAAATAAAATAATAAAGAATACATTCTTATGAGTTATGAGTGTACGACTTACATAGCTACGAAAGGCAATCAATTAGCAGAAGTCCAACAAGACCACAAGCTGAGAAGCAGACTGCCACACTGCATGGGCTGCGACTGACCGACTGGGAGCTTGCCTCCTTGACTCGCTGAAGTGCCAAACAAAGTTACGGGAAGTTTTTCTTCCTTTTGGCACTGGGACAGACTATTAATCTAACTGGCCCAATAATTCTTTTTAATATATAATACAATGAAATGAAAATTTTACCCTGGGCCATGGCCCACCAAGGCCCTCCCCCCTCCCTCCGCGTCTGCCCCCTTGTAACCCCTAACACATAATTCAATACTCATTCACAATACACGACACTCACCGGCGATCTTCTTTTCCATTTTCTCTAAATCTCTTCGCAACCAGTCTCAGCCATCTACTCAGCAGATGTTGAACATTGCAGCTCCACGCCTTGGTCGAAGGGCTCACCCCTTTTGCTTCATTTTGGGGGAATTTGGTGTACTCTTTTTTCCTCATTAGGATTTTTTCCCCGCATGGTTTTTTTTCTAATGAGGTTTTTAACAAGGCATGCATTTCCCCATTGTGGACAAAAAGTATTGACCATCGACCTCTATTGGACCCATGATGAGACATGCAATACTCTACTCATCTTTATCTCACTACACTCGCCTCAAGGAGTGGAGTACTGGAAGAGCGGTGGACTCAGCGCCTCCGTTAATCGAAGAAGCAAATCAAGTTTCTACACAAGGTTTGACACATGCACCGACAACACTATCACATCATATGCAGATTCAGTTGCCATAGTAGCAAATGCATATACATAGCCCCTCAGCCCCAGGACCGGTTGTGATGATCTCTGACATGTGACCTTACACTGTGAATTCTCCCACAATGTTGCCTCATTTAGGGCTTACCAATGAGATCGGATCAACGGCTTGGGAATCCGAGCGAGGCACCTCGAAAATGACAACATTGTACTCCATCAGACGACGACAGATTAGGGAGTAATCTCACCTCATGGAGTGGGGGACTCCTGATATAGTATATAAACTCCGACCCCCGATCTCATGACTATTGGGTCTGGAAAGCAGCCCATACACGCTTAGCAAGCGTCATTTATATTATCGTACGGTTCATGTATCCTTTG